ATAAATTTCACCATTTGAGGGGATGTACTTGATGGAGTGGACCGATATTGTCAATTTTCACACCTGACCTGGCAAAGATGGAGCAACATCGGATTATCCTTTCTCTTTCTGTATAACAAATATATGTTTTGGAAATTTCGACCTTTTGTGATGAAGGAACCAGAAGGAGTATTGCCCATTATCGAACTCGATCTAAGTTTGACAAAAATATATAACGATATACCCAGATTGGACCAAATCGGATACTCCCTTCGAGAGTTATCGTGCGCACCAGCCAGACAGACAGACTGACGGACGGAAATCGCTAGATGTTCTGAAACGGATTTGGTCCAAAGAGACCTAGGGACAAAAACCGTTATTTCGACTAGGCACGCTTTGACCGTATTAAATTGTATATACCCTCTGTAGCCATATGGTTGTGAGTATAAAAACGTCTGTTCCAGAACTGCAAAAATGTAAAACTTTTTATTACGATAACCTATTTTCCATTTATAATATTGAAAAAAGTTGCAAAAGTTGTTGGTTCTTGCAGGTTTTGGGACAGATAAAACATTTTAACACTTCAATGCCCAAGCTTAAATGTCCACTCTGGCCCTTTGGAGAATGGTATATAACAAAAAACGTTTCCGAACAACTAATTTTCTCCATCATAAAGCGTTAATTGCAGCAAATAGTTATTATACCATCAACGGTTATAAAACGGGCCCTGGCATTTTACATAAGCACTCCAACAAAAAGAGAAAGAAAATCAATTCAACGAAAATCTAATAAGAAATTCCCTACAACACCACACTGTCAGAGAAAGAAGAAATGCTGACACAAAAAACGCTGTTACACTTTTCGGTATTTAATTACCCCATCGCACCACAGCAAAACGTTTAATGCATTTTAAATATTTCTTTGAAAATGCCAATGGAATATTAATTTGCAAACACCTTTCAATTGAATCTAACATTATTTTATTATGCTGGGAACACAGAGCTGTAAAGTTCATCAAAGTTTTGATTACAAAGTATTAGAGTCTTGTTATTTTCTAATGAAATTTTCAGTTGGATTGCAAAATAAAATGAAAACTGCACTTCCAATTTCATTTTTTTTTTTAATAATTTTATACACATGTTGAAATTGATTCGACTGCATTCAGCAAATAAGAGAGATCAGGGCCTCAATTCTTGTTCTATGAAAATGTGACATGAAAACTTTTATAAAGGAAAGAAATGTCAAATGAAAAATTTTATAAAGGAAATATTATTCATTTCATAGAACAAGAATCCAGCTCCAGGGCAAAGACAATTTATATGGACCCATGGATTCGGGTATTTAAAGGGTATCTAGCCACTGGCTACAGGTTTTAATAGAACTCCCTATTTCTACGATAACATTTTCGGTTAAATTTGTCAGAACATATGCTGAGATATTTTCCAAGAGTCAGGTGTATCTTCAGACTTGTAGGGTAAAATTGTTTTTGGAAGCACAAATTCTCTAAATTAACTCTTCATCTGTAATTACAGCACCGAAGGCACCACGGCAGCCATGATAAAAACCAATTATTAAGGATCTTTTTTTGCCCGTCGTACTAAGACAATATAAGGGGTCAGCAAAGCGATGAAGGGGGATGCTTATTAAAAATAAAAGAAGGTGGAACGTATATCGTCATCGTGGTGTTGAAAGTAATCATTGGCATATTCAATATTATAGCACATTTTAATAGATTTAGCGGGTTGACCTTCTGTTTAGATACACTCATGGTAGATATATCAACATTGATATGTCAATTTTTTTAAATGTTTCTTCAAAAATAATTAAATTTTTATAAGTTTTGTTATACGACGCCAATTGGAGGTTCTAATAATATAATTTTTTTTTTAGCAAATTTGACAAATTTAATATTTTTAATACAAAAATTATTCTAAACTTTTAGGATTTACGCGTTTTCCATCGTTCACCATTTTGAGTGGAACATTTCAATTATTATAAAGTTATTTTATTCAGATTCGAGATTTTGTATAGTTTTTGCAATAATAAAGAAAGTTTTAATTACACTTAATTAAATTTCATAAATTTGGAGTTTTATTCAAATAATGTTTTTTTTTTTTTTGTCAGTAGTAGGCACCACTTGCCAATTGTTGGTATGAGGTGTTCCAACAGTCGGCATACCGATTTGTTTTAAGGTTAATTAATAATAATAAAAAAAATCATTTATTAAAATATTATATGTTGTCTTTATTGTACTTTTCTTAAGAATATAGATTGTCCATTTCATGCTGAGGAACTTCACAGACAAAAATTTAATTTTTAATAGATTATTATCTTTTCTTAGCGAAATTGTACACAAAGATAGCTGAAATTATAATCGAAGAAAACAACAATTTCTGTTTACATTATTTCATTTATTTGAGCTTAAAAAAAGTGCCGACTACTGGGACATGCCGAACTTAGACACACTTACCCTTTTAGTGAAGAGAAAACTAATATATGTTATGTTCCAGAACCTGCAAAAATCTACTAGTTTTGCAATGAGTTTCGTTATCATAAAGGGAAAATCGGTTACGTCAAATTCGTGTCAAGTATTGGCCTGTCGTTTTAACCTTAAATTTGAAAAATTAATGAAAAAATATTACTGTTGCAAAAAAAAAAACTGATAACGCAAAAGTTGTACTAAAAGTTTGCCAATTCTTGTCGGGCAAATTTCTTACTTATTTCTATTTCCCTCGCAAGCGATTTGAGCCCTTTTTTTTGGAATTCGGAAATCCTGTCTGTTGAAATTACGATACAGCCCACGTTATTTTACGTAGAGCTTCAAAATATATAACCATAACCATTTGTATTGTGTCTAGCTCCCTTATAACGTTACCTCCCGATATTCGGTATTTTATTGATTTTTACCACATTTTTCCAGGGATTTGTATAAAAATTGGTATTTATTGTTTCTAACGGGTTCTAGCTCCGGTGGCGGAACATTGTATGTATAGGTCCACGTTTTCATATAGCCGACATGTAACTGTACCTCCCGATAATCGGTATTTTGATAAATTTTGCCACATTTTTTTTTTTCACGGATTTGTCTAAAAATTGGTATTTGTTGGTCATAATGGGTTGTAGCTCGTGTGGCGAAACATTGTATGTATAAGTCCACGTTTTGGTATAGTCCCCATATAATGGTACCTCACGATATTAGGTATTTTGATGATTTTGGTACATTTTTCCACGAATTTGTCTAAAAATTGATATTTGTTGGTCATAATGAGTTTAACTCCGGTGGCGGAACATTGTATGTATAGGTCCACGTTTTCGTATAGCTCCCACATAAAGGTACCTCCCCATATTCGGCATTTTCATGATTTTTCCAAGAATTTTTCTTAAAATTAGTATATGTAGGTAATAATGGGTTCTAGCTCCGGTGACGGAACATTTTATGTATAGGTCCATGTTTGCGTATAGCCCCCATATAACAGTGCCTCCCGATATTCGGTACTTTGATAATTTTAGCGACATTATTCACCGGAATCGTTTGAAATTTGGTATTGGAAGTTCGTAATAGATACTATAGCCTAAGACAGAAAATATATTCGGTATTTTGACGATTTTATGAACAATACTCACCGAAATTGTTTGAGATGTCGTATTTAAAGTTCGTAATGGTTGCTACAGGCTGTAACAGAAAATTGTCTATGCAAGTCCAGGTCTTCGTATAGCTCTGATGTAACGGTACCTCCCTATGTAGGGTATTTTGATGATTTTAGCTACATTATTTCAAGTTTCGAATTTGAATATGGTAATGACTTATGACAAACAAAGCCTATGTAGATTCACGTCGTAGAGACCCTAATATATCGGCTATATTCGGCATTTTTAAGATTTTAACATAATATTTAACGGATTTTATTTTTTGAAAATTTTCAAATTAGTTCCAAAAGGTGGAGGGTATTCAAAGTTCGGCCCGGCCGAACTTACTGCTTTTTAACTTGTAAAGATTTCAACAGAATTTTTAACGGAATTTATTATTTTTTTTTTAATTTCCAAATTCGTTCCAAATGGTGGAGGGTATTCAAAGTCCAGCCCGGCCGAACTTAATGCTTTTTTACTTGTTTAATCTTTAAATATATATTTTTTTTAAATCCAGATGTTCAACTTTCAGTTAAGTAGTGGATAAAACTTTAAAAATCCTTCTTTCAACGACAACAGAAAGAATTTTCATGCATACAAGTAGGACCAAATGCAGATATGAAAAAACAACAGGCATACTCCATACACATTTAAGCTCTTTAATCTTTAGTAACTACAAATTTTCATAAGACTTTGAATTTCCTTTAGGTAAATTTCATATAAAAAATCAAAATTCGAAAATGTCAACAAAAATATGATCGGTGAACTTAAATAAACTTCAGAAAACATATGTTTGCACATATCACTAAAAGCAGTATACCCACATGGCAAAATTGTGGTATTTGTATATTTTATAAGTGCCTACATAAAAAAACCTTTATAAAAATGTGCATATTTTCAGTTAAAGCCTTTTGATTTGATCACTTTTTTTTGCTCAAATTTTGTCTCCCTCTCAATGATTTTGTTTTTTTAAGCAAAGCATGTTTAGCACGCTCGTTGATGTTAACACTTCAGTACAAAGATGTCGTGTGCATTGGACCCCTGGCCCCAAGTTTCTGAAAACCAAAACTCCCTACCCAGAAATAAAATAAAACTAGTAAGGCAAGGCAGAAGCTAAGCAGAATAAAAAACAAAAACAACACAAAAAATAAACCGCAATAACACAACACCGGTGATCATCAGACAGCGATGGCGTACGAGCAGAAAGACAGCTCAGACAACCGTATAGCCCGGCAATTAAACCCCCTTGCGGGGTTATCGGTTTGCTTTAGTATGCGCATGCGCACGCGTACCGTAATGGCAACTTACACCTCACTGCCAACAGCAGCAGCAGCCGACGCCGCAAAAATTCAGCTACGTTGTTATTCTTCAAAAGAAAGAGTTGCTAGCGTTCCAACGATAGTTTCAGTCAAACCAGCGTTCAGTCCAGACGTCGTCTATATAAACTGATACGCCCGACAAGTTTCTCCAGTGTTGTGTGGATTATTTTTAAGGACATACACCGCCAGAAAAAAAAAATAGAGACAAAAACAAAATGAAGCAATTCGTTGTGTGTACCATTGTGGCCGCTTTGTGCGTTGCATCTGCAAGTGAGTGTTACAAAATTTTACAACATTTGGTTTGTTTTGTGATGTGTTAAAAAAAAAATCAAAGAAAAAAAAACTTATTGAAAAAACATTGACAGAAATTATGGCTGGGCCACAAGTGTAGCAGCTTCAGCTAATTTATATTTGGTTTGAAAAAATGTGGTCTGCGGAAAGTGCCAACAAGAAATTGTGAAATAAATAAATCGTCTAATTGAGGAGGAAGAAAATATATGAAATGTTTAAAAGTGCATTAAAAGTGAGGAAGCCTGACAGGAAAAAGGGATTTGGGCAATGGGCTCAAACTGGTATTCACATGGATCAGTTGTATTATAACCGTGGAATAATTTTTAAGTCGTATTTTTGATCGCACACAAATGTAATGAGTTATATACCTTCGAAATGTTCCATTTTAATACCTTTCTTTGCAATGGATAATTTTTAAATTTTTACCCAAAAAATGGTAACCTTTTGATCCCAGAGCCCAGAAAACACCAACTCTGAATCAATTCCATAGTAGTTATGATATTTTTTGGATTTTTTTTCTGATTTTATTCAAAAATATATGCACATAAAAACAGGTTCCCATCTCTGATTTGTGTGTGTACAATGGATTTGCAAATATAAATTTGGACAATGAGATGTTGTCAAAGGAATAATTTTGAAAAAAATTGTAATCATATGATTGTATGACTTTACCTTCTTAATTCTACCACGGATTGAATGTTGAAAGACAGTCAAATAGAAACGACCGAATTTTTACCATGTTTCAAAACATTTTTCTCTTTAAAACTCTTTCTATACAAATTTAGAGCAATAGCGCGTTTATACTATTGCAGATTAATCCACAGGGTTTATTAGATCCATTGGGTTAATCTAGTTTGTTTAGATACACTCCAAAATGTTATAAGTTGTCAGAAGATCTTTGGTTACGAATACACACAAAAGAAAATAAAACAAGTAAAAAAGAAGAGGACCTTGAAAACATTCAAAAAACTTTAGGAAATTACCACTTAAATGAAAACTGTTATATGTAGACTATACGAAGACGTGGACCTGCTTACGACATTTTTTGTCATAGACTGCAGAACCCATTACAAACTTCAGATACCAAATTTGTTACGATTCCGATGGATAATGTCGCACAAATCATAATCCGGTAAATACTGTCGCTATATTCATGAAAATACCAAATATCGGGAGGTACCGTTATATGGGGGCTATACGAAAACGTGAACCGACATGGTCCCTTTACGAACATGTATGCAAAATGTTAGCCTTCTATCTCAATTCGTTCGAAAGATAGCGTCATTACAACAGACAGACGGACAACGCTAGATCGTCTCAGAATTTTACACTGATCCAGAATATATATACTTTGTAGGGTCTATTATAAATATTTTGAGGAGTTACAAACGGAATGACAAAGTTAATATATCCTCCATAGAATGGTGGAGTGTATAAAAATGGAGCCCATTTATATGTAAACGTAGTGTTATTTTTTCAACACTTTCGTCCCACAGTGACAGCAATATTTCTTCTCTTGTGTTGACCCACGTTTATCTTCAATTTGCTACTTTTTCTTTAAAAATAGAAAAATAGATAAATTGTTTTATTTAAAATAATAGTAAATTACTTTCTACATTTTTCTTTAATTTGTATTTCATTTTGTTCTGTTATTCGTTGTAAACAAACGCTTTGCGAAAACAGTTGATATTTTTGGCAGTGCCCATCACGTGATGCTTTTTTAAGTAAAAAACACAGTTGCATATAATTAGTATGAGAATTTCGCTCCAGATTTAAAATAAATCCAGTTCTGCTTGAATAGATCCAGATTAAGCAATAAATCCTGATAATGTGGGTTAATCCGGATAAAATTTTGTATCTAGACGCCCAATAAGCTTCTGGTTGACTAGTATGTTGACTTTAAAGTTGGCTGAATTTAGTACGGTCAGTGAATTTTAATTGCTAGTTCCATTGCTTATACATCAAATAAATCATCACAATAGAGAAAACCCATGAAAAAGGTCTATTATAAACATTGTATTAATTGATTAATCAAATGCAACATCAAATAAGATACCATTACCTACCTATTAGTTCATCCGATAAGACCAGCTGACTTCTCCCATATTGTCAAAATGTAGGCCATTGTGAATTAAATGGATAAATATGTAAACAAAACACTTTGACAATATGAGGGGTTTTCAATCCCAATGGTAGTTTTTACTGTGACCCACACGATCCTGTGACATATGTGCTGTCACCTTTATTATCCATATCAAAATTCCCATTTTACATATGATTCATAATTCTTGTTGTCACACACTTGCATATGTTTTTTTATTTCCTTTGTTTACATTGACTTTTATAGAAAAATTATAATACTGTATGGATGAATTTTTACTGCAAATTTAATTTTATATATTATTACCCAACAAAAAAATACTTTTTGTTAAATTATTTCCGATGGAAATAGGGCTCGCTGTGATCGAAAAAGGACATATATATTTTACTCAAGTATTTCACTACTAAAATGTCGTTCAAGTATCACAATATACATCCCCAATAATAACTTACCAACTCAAGATTCTATCTGAAATCCAAATTTTTACATAGTTTTTGCTAAACGAACTCTTTTTTATGTTTACACAAAAATATTTTAATAAACTGCCTTATTAAATTTACATTTTAGTAGACCTACGTCAGCTAAATGACGCATATTCCTAGAACGCATGTTTATGGTGCCAGATTATCGTTTAAGAACATGTGTGGATTTTTTAGGCAAAAATATATGGCAAACATATAAAAGCCACAACATTTTTGCATAAAATCAACTCTTATAAAAATATTCCGATACTAATTAATGAAATCGAAAGCTAAAACATGCATAAATTTTTTATTGTGGTCAAAAAACCGACTAGTATTAAGCCATATGACGACAATTTGCTAAAATTCTATTTCTGAAACTGAAAGTTTCAAGATTCTTAACTCTGAGCGATTTAATCAAAACAAAACCGGCTAATGTCGTTTGGCAGCATCACAAAGTGTATTTGCATACAATTTTTCTCAAAGTTAAACTTGAATTCATAGCGTCTTCTTTTTTTGTATATTTTAACATTTATTAATAAATTAAAACAAATAAATATGTTAAACATTTTGGCATTGGCCCCAAAATCAACCAAGCAAACTATTTTTTGCCAGCCATTCACCCAGACCAAACAGAAAAACGCGCGCACACACACACAAACTTTTCAATTTCATAACCTGAACTTCAAGTCATAGACAAAATTCCCCAATTAAAAATAACAAAAAAAAATGATAAAGCCGGGCAAATTAATGCAGATAATGTAAGAAATTTTCCAGTCATAATTTATTTATTGATGTTTAACCCTCAAGCATGCCAGCAGTCGCCTATTTGTCTATACATATGCTTAAAGCAACATTGGACAATCTATATCTATATATATCTATAAAAATCTGCCTGCAATTGAATTGGCCTAAGGGTTAAGTTGTGTGAAATAGTTTTCAAATTGCGTGCAATTACCTTACCACCACACCCAGCAAATGTCAAACATTACCAAGTGTTGTCATGCCGCCGGCCAGTTAACCATTTGAAAGTAAAAGTATTATGAGTTGTCATCCTATTGACTGGTTTTATGCATTCACATTTCTGGAGATCCAGAAATGCCACAGTTCAAATATTTACTGTTAATGTTAAATTAACATTTAAACTGGTTTTTGCGGTGGATGCCGTTGACGCAGACATTTCGCATGCATTCTGTTTCATGTAGACATAGCAAAAGGCCTGCAGCAACAATTGAACTGATACTAGTTGTGTTCCAGTACTTTTTTAGTAGTAAAACTAGCAGAAGAGAGAACAGTTCGAAATGTCATTCTCATTTAGGTTTGCTCAAAAAATAAGGGAACGGAAAATTAGCAGAAATGCGATAAAATGTCAAAATTCAAAATTCCAAAAGTAAACAGCCTAAATCGGACTGGGGAAACCTTACTGAAAAGAGCGCCAACATTTAAAAAATGAATATTGAAGACGATAAGTTAAAATTAATAATTTATAATAATAATTAATAATCTGATTCCTCATTCAGCCAGTCCTCTTCACAGCTGGAATCATCCAAAAGTGAATACATCACTTGCTCCATATTTTCTCTTTTTGTTTTTTGCACGACAAATATTAGTTTTTCCTTTAGTTTTCAAGTTGATCATTTTCTTTACTGAAATGTATCAATACATTTTTCAACCTTGTTAGCCCTGCCAATTAAATGTCAAATTTACAATATGCACATTTCTGCTCGGCCAAATTCATGTAGCTAAAACAAGCAGAAATGTGCACCATTCAGCGCCATTTTTTTCTCGAGAGAGCTGCAAGTTTTGCTAGTTTTTGGAGTACGGGAACGCGTTGTTGCAGAATTAGTGCTAATTAGTACTAATTTGCAGGTTCTGGAACACAACTACTATTTTTGTTTTGTGTAAAACATTTTTTTTTTTGAGAAAACCAAAACAAAGAAATCGTGTTTAGGTTGTGCCATCAGATATTTGTTAAAATGGAAATTGGGAAATGCATTTTTTAAATATTTTAATTTAGAATAGTATAAAGGTAGAAGATAGATTTTTTTCTCAAAATTTCTAACTATCTAGATTATTTGGTAACCTTTTATATTGTAAGATAGTGTTGACGATGAATGTCTGTCTTAATTGCTTGAAAAGATGGACAACACCCATGGTAGAAAAATACAGGTAGATGCATAAACGCTTGGGAACATTGATATGTCAAAAAATTTTAAATATTTTTTCAAATATAAGTGGATTTTTATATGTTTTTTTATTCGACGTCATTCGGAGGCTATTATAATTCGCGTCTTTCAACAATTTTTACAAATTTAAATAATTTTTCATTCAACATTTTCCATTCCAATATTGGTTTGACAGTTCACTGTCCCAGCAGCTGTGTCGATGTGTCTACCTATATTCTTCTACCATGGGCAACACCGAAAAATACGCTGTGTTAACATGATTGTATTGTGATAGAACAATTATCAAAGTAAATTGCTCAATGTAAACGTGTACTAGGTTTCTGGTGTTTAATCTGTCAAACTCCCCTGCAGGAATTGACAACATTCAATCAATAATGGCTGCTATTGACTTTGTCACTAGTTCTACTGACCAAGTTTAGACAAGCTATTGACACTCTGTATGAGTTTGTCATTCAGAATTCACTAGTGACATTGACAGTAGTAAGTCAGCAGTTCTTACGGGGGCTTATTGAGACATTGGAACTAGTGAGTCAATAGAGACATTAATACTAGCGACTTAGTAGTCCTAGAGGGCCAAATATATACTTTAATGCCATAGATAATTTTTTACAATTCATTCAAATTTCATCGATTTTTAATATCGATTTCCTAACCAGCTGAATTGATCTGTAAAGTTTCGTCCAGAAAAGACTTGTAAATTTGTTTTAGTTGCGTATTTAACAAAGAAAAACTTAAAATATTTTACTAAAATTGAAAAGGTTCAATGTGTATATTACAGTTTTTTTTTCATTAAAAGTATTTTTTAGGTTTCTCTAAAAACTTAATTTTTTCAATTTGAATTGAAAAAAATATTTTCTAGAATTTTTCGACACTTGAATGTTTTTAATTATGATTTAAGGCTATGTTTTATTAGACTACAATGCCATGTTTACGTTAGAACATTTTGTAGGGTTAACCTACTTTAAGAGGATTTATTTGAAGTATAAGTAATGGATATGACAATTTTAATCCAAATCCAGTAGGTTAACCCTTTTATATGTAAACGTACTGTAAGGTCTTTATGACTTATAAAAATTACTTATTTCATTAAAAAAAATGTTAAAATCCTCTTTTTTTATTAGTCCGCTGTTCTTTGTTGCACTCCTTTTTTTACTGAGTACCACCACTTGCAATTACTCACTCAAGATAAACATTCAGACAAAAACAATTTGAGTGTTTTTTTTCTATTTTCTGGTTTTGTCGCTGCTTCAAATGCATCGCTGTAAACTGCAAATTTGCTGCTAGCATCGCATCAGCAGGCTAATTATGCAATTTGTATTTGTCTATCTAAATCTGAATGCACATGCAAAGCAAAGCTAAAATGGCCCACCTTTGATAATTTTTCGAAATTGTTTTTCTTTAAAGTTCAAAAGCATAGAAATTATTTGATTAATGCATTTAATTGCTGTGGCAACAGCAGACGGCAGACGGATACCCATTTCAATTGAATTCCATTATAGTCGACACACAATAAGCCAGCGCTGCCTGCATAGGCGGAATAACTGAATGGTTTAGTCATCAAACCCGGTAACGAATACCTGTGCACATGTGCTGTTATTAAATTGTTGTTGTTGTAGTTGCCGTTTCTATTAGACCGACTTCCATACATATTTGGTTATTGGTTGTGGAAAAATTTCCTTGATTTTACTTTGTTTTCTTGATTTGAATTTAAAATTTTTTGTATTTACAATTGAGGTTAATGTACTACAGCTACCTTACTGATCGGAATAGAAATTGAAATGCTAGAAAGTGAAATTTAGTTGTTTATTTGGAAGAATTAATACTAGCACATGGCATAAAAAGTGGGTTATTTTTAATTTAGCTCCATTTTTATGGAAAGCCTTAAGACCATAAGAGAATAAACACATTGGGCGCCGTTACCGTGTTAAACGAAATCGTGTTAATAAAATTTCTCTCTTACTTTTCTTTCAGATGCCGCTTTCGAATGCCCCAAACCCAATGGCCAGTTCCCCGATGACAAGCAATGTGATAAATACTATGAATGTGATGATGGCGTTGCCAAGGAAAAGTTGTGTCCCGATGGTTTGGTCTTCGATCCATTGAACCGTCAAATCAACAAATGTGATATGCCATTCAATGTTGATTGTGGTGATCGTGTTGAATTGCGTAAGTATTTTCGAGAATTGTTATATATTGAGCCCTCTTTTAACCTTAATTCTCTCTTGGGACTTTACAGAAGAACCAATTTCCTCCAAATTCTGTCCCCGCAAGAATGGTTTCTTTGCCCATCCCGATGAAACTGTCTGCAATATCTTCTTCAACTGTATCGATGGTGATGCTTTGGAAACCAAATGTACCGTAGGCTTGCATTTCGATGAATACAGCGGTACCTGTGTCTGGCCCGAAACTGCCAAGCGTGAAAACTGTGTTGAAAAGCCAAGTAAGTTAGAAAAATGAAAGTGCTTATCCCTCGGAAACTAATTACATTATCCTCTCTTCAACAGAAATGTCCGCCACCGGCTTCCAATGCCCCAAGGACAAGCCAAAGACTGATGCCCGCGGTCAAGTTATTTCCCACCCCAGATATCCCCATCCCACCGATTGCCAGAAATTCTATGTCTGCTTGAACGGTGAAGATCCCCGCGATTTGGCCTGCCAAGCCGGTGAAGTTTACAACGATGAATCCGAAATGTGCGATGCTCCCGAAAATGTACCCGGTTGCGAAGATTGGTTCAAGGATTCCGATGAAAAGAAAGAATAAGAAGATTGTTCTCCCTCTCTTATAGCAGAGCTGTAACATCAGTTTGTTTGACTATTTTTGTGTTAAAACAAAATGCCCGTTTTATCACAGATTTAGTAGTCATTTAGGTTATTCCTATATAGTTTGTAATGAAATATCCCAAAACGATACATAGTCCACCTTATTGATGTCACACGATATCGTACATATACGCCACGCACACACAATTCATTTAGTAATTCGTTGAACATAAAAAAGAGTAGAAGAAAAAGTTTAACTCTCAAGAACTAAAACTTTGACTGATCAACTTGTGCTGTACTTAAACAAAAATATTTTTCAATACTCTTTTTAAAAAACAATTTTGTTTCTTAATCTATTTTTGTGTATAGAATGTGTATCTTATCAAAACTTTTTGTTGTATATATTTAAGACAAAATAATAAACAAAAAATATTATTAAACTATTTAAAAATATATATGGAACTGTTTTCTTTTTTTGTGTACCACACCATAGAATGGGGCATATTAAGGTATTATTTTGTTAGCAAAACTTCGAAATATTCGTCTGAAATGTCATAAAGTACATGTGATCTTATTCAGAAATAGAGTCGATACTATTATATTACAGGGGAATATCTTTTATGAATAGTATGGCGGGTAGAAAAACGGCAAATGCTACTGAAATATCAGGAGGAAATATTCAACCCAGTCTCAAGAGTCAACTTTATATTTTCCGAGGTTTATTAATTTCTAAACTACATGAAATGGGAATGTCATACAAGCTTGTTAAAATGGTAGAGAGCATATATCAAAGAACCAAAGCAGCGGTATTAACTGGAGAGGACAGATCAGATTATTTGATGTGAAATAGGTTTGCTTGCTGTCACCTGTACTCTTCGCACTATACAGTAATGTCCGCCACGATTGGTTATTGGAGGAGTCATTATAGAGCATCTGAATATTACATTATTATTGTTGAACGTGGACGATGTCGTTATTCTCGCGGAGGATATTCAGATACTTCAAATAGTGATAAAGAATTTGGAAAAATACTGTAGAAAAGTAATCTAATACTAATTATGAAAAGTTAAAAATATTGGTTCCTTTAAAGAAAAATGGATATACTGTGGGGAGGAGATTAAAATCATTTATTGTTATTCCGCAAATATCTTTCTGAAGAACATTCAAATTCGAAATAGCCAAGCAAAGAGTGTATTGCATGGAAGAATTTTTAAGCAAAAGCCAGAGATTGGATTGCCTCAGAAATGAAACGTGTATCAAGCAGATTGTAGAGTAATTCAGGTCCCCTTTACTTTGATGAGGTAGATAAGTTTCAACGTTTCATTCTAATGAGTCTTTAAATTACCGGATTCGGCGCCAAACTATGCCCGATCGAAACAGTCCTCGAATCAGGACATATCCATACACTCGAATTGTATCTTAAATATGTATGGAGGACCTTGTTTCGTTATAGCCAGGACCGATTACGATGTAAGCTGAGCAAAATTTTTTAAGGTTAGGTGTGACCTTATCTTACTGAATGGAAATCCCAACATTTTCGAGACGCTAATTACTGTACGATTTGCAAGTGTAGCACTTCAATATCGTTAATTAATTATTACCGAATTCCAATAACATTCGAATCATCTTCTTAACATACCGGTGTGTATAAGACGAGCTTATAAGGAGACATTGAATATTGCTCACTCGGTCATGTTTCTACCTTATTTTCAATATGTACTATGTTCCAGAATATATAAGAATCTACTAGATTTGCAATTTTTTTCGATATCATAAGAGAAAAATCGGTTATCGTTGTAAAACTCTCATATTCTTGTAGTTCTGGAACAGACACTGTGTTACATATGCGTTCACTAACCATTTTGAGACATGAAGATACAGGGTGGTTTGGCGGTAGTAATATTCATTTGTAAAAATAATTGTTGCCGACTTTTAGGCTTAAACGTTTTTTTAGCTTTGTGATCTCAGAGGGTGACTCAATTCTTGTAATCGTACAGTAATGTAAATGTTACTTTAGGAACTGTCTAAAAGTAAGCTTACATACAAATCTTCTTACATTGGTGTTTGATATGAAATTAAAGCCACAAACCACAAGAATGCGAGGATCTATAGCAAAATTAAATTAATCTAAAAAAAATGGATATAGCTTCCATATATATCTTCGTCCTGGTACAACAATGTTGGTGCTATATATATATATATATATATATATATATATATATATATATATATATATATATATATATATATATATATATATATATATATATATATATATATATTTATCCGGATTAACGCATATTATCATTATTATCTTAGAAGAGGCCCACCAAAGTGAGTGTGTACTTATTTCTTACCACCAATTATCACCATATTAGCTTTTACTCTAAATGATTGTTTGAAGTATACGCAATAAAATTGGTAATATAAATCCACAAGGTTAACTAAATCTGATAAACTTTAAACGTGCTATATTATCTAGTGGAAATCTAGTGGATTTCCACTGCGTATACGTCAAATGAAATAGATTTGAGATTTGACGTATACGCAATTAGTTTTCATTGTTAAAGATTATGGATGTTTCCTTCATTTGTAGCTTATTCCTGTAGTCCTTCTGATTTATTTACATGAAGGGCCGAATATTTTAAATATACTTTTAGTCTAAAATGATTACTTCGATATGATAGCGGAGGATAGAAAATGCAATTGTACGATCATAAGTTTTGAAATTTATATTTTGTAGTTCTTCCTTAAATATGGGCGCACGCCTGGCAAGAAATATACATTTGTTCGACCAAAGATTTTGTAATTTTTTCGCCTTTCATAAAAAAATATAATCCAAATTAGTAAACCCAAAAATATTGATCACACGTAATATGAGAAATGCATCATTTTACTCTAGATAGGACAAGTATAAAGATCGACAATATCGCGTCTTGTTTTGTTATTTTACTGGTAGACGATTGCTATCCGCCATTATACCCTCCACCTTGAAAAGGTCTCACTCCATTTGTAACATCCCTAAATATTCGTCGTAGACCCCATAAAGTATATATATATTCATGATCAACATAAAATTCTAAGTCGGTATAACGATGTCCGTCTGTTTGTCTGTTGAAATCACTATACAGTCAACATTATTTGACGTATAGCTTCATTGTGTATTGTGTCTAATATGGATTGAAATATATCGGTCCATTTGGTCTGTTTTGGTATAGCCACCATATAACGGTACCCCCTAATCAGTATTTTGATGATTTTCGCCTGCATCTCCGATGGCGGAACACTGTACATATAGGTTTTCGTTTTCATACAGCCCCCATATAACGGTAACTCACTATATTCGCATTTTGGATGATTTTCGAAACATTTTTTTCACGAATTTGTATAAAAATTGGTATTTGTAGTTCGTAATGGTTTCCAATTCCGGTGGCGGAACATTGAAAATATAGGTCCACGTTTTCGTATAGCCCACATATAACGCTACCTCCCGATATTCGGTATTTTGATGATATTCGCCATATTATTTCACGGGTTTGGTATATTTGGTATATGTAGTTCGTAATGGGCTCCAGCTCCGGTGACAGAAAATTGTACACATAGGTTCCACAGATTTGCCCAAAAATTGGTATTTTTAGTTCGTAATGGGTTCTGCCTCCGGTGGCAGAACATTGTACATAGAGGTCCACGTTTTTCTAAAGCTTAAAACTAATTTAGTGCAATGATCGACACCGTTTCTTAGAAAAACACTTAATAAAGCAAGTTACTGCACTTTCGAGGTCACGCATTTTCTACATTTGTGCCCCATACATATGTGTATGTGTCTATATTACACTGCACGGGTAACGGTAACAGAAACAACAGCAACAACTCCAAAAACTCTAACTTAAAGGCAACTCAAATTATTAACTAAAATTATGTAACCCAAATGATTGCAGACATACACACACGATGGTAGATAATGTTACATGTCAATCGTTAATCAAAGAGCCAACCATTCATTCATTGAACACCAAATAAACAGCAGACAAAGCATAATAGCAACAACAATAACATTAGCACAGACATAATGACACAGCGAACAATAACGAACCGCAACAAACTAGCATCGATTTGAGAGCGAAGTCTTGATCTGTGTTAAACTATAAATGTTGGTCATTTACTTAGTTTTCATTACATGGTTTAAATATGGGTGGAAACAATACTTAATTTGGACAGAGTTGCCAGATGTTCATGGTCAAAGGAAATCTTATGGCATCATACGACCTGTTTATACCCTCCACCTTAAAAAGGAGGGTATATTAACTTTGTCATTCCGTTTGTAACATCCATAAATATTCGTCGTAGACCCTTCGTATAGCCCTCATATAACGGTACCTCCCGATATTCGGTATTTTGATGATTTTAGCGACATTATTCACCGGAATTGTTTCAAATTTGGTATTTGAAGTTCGTCATGGATACTACAGCCTAGGACAGAAAATTGTCAGTGCAGGTCCACGTCTTCGTATAGCCCCCATATAACGGCACCTACTGATACTTGGTGTTTTTTGATGATTTTACGGACATTATTCGCCGGAATTGTTTCAAATTTAGTATTTGAAGTTCGTAATGAAACTAAATTCTATGACAGAAAATTGTCTGTGCAAGTCCACGTTTTCGTATAGCCCTCATATAACGGTACCTCCCGATATTCGGAAATCTTTCAAATTTGGTATCGGATGTTCGTCATGGATACTACAGCCTATGGCAGAAGACGTTTTGGTATGGCACCCATATCATGGGTCCTCCTAATATCCGGTATTTTTACGATTTTAGCTACATTATTCACCGATTTTTTTCAAGTTTCGCATTTGGCTTATGACAAAAGTTGCCCATGCAGGTCCACGTCGTCGTATTTTTAACGGTTTTTATTTTTTGAATGTTGCCAAATTCGTGGTGGAGAGTATTCAAGGTTCGGCCTGGCCGAACTTACAGCTTTTTTACTTGTTTAAATTGATTTCTTTATCTTGCCAAATTTTTATTTTGTAGTTCTTCCTTACACAAGGACATTTTATTTTATATTTCCCATAAAATATTTTGTTATTTTCATGCCTATCTATCATGGAAGAAAAGCAACCTATTATCTTCATAAGTAATGTGAGACTTAATGATGGAATTTTTGAAGTTTACTTCAAATTATCATTTTAAGTAAGTCCGCTTTAAAAAATTGAATTCGTTCCAACAGTTCGCGTTAGGTCTTTTAGTACTCAAAACGCACAACTTTTATACCCTCAATCATATGGCTAGAGAGGGTATATATCATTCGATACGGCCAAAACGTGCCTCATCGAAATAACGGTTTTAGACACTAGGCCTCTTTGGACCAAATCAGTTTCAGGACATTTAAAGTCGATCTAGCGATGTTCGTCCGTCTGCGCACAATAACACTCGAAGGGAGTATCTCATCTGATTCAAACTTGGTACATCGTAATATTATTATCAAACTTAAATCGAGTTCGGAGATGGGCCACATCGGTCCACTCCTTCTCGTACCTTCCCAAAAAAGGCCGAAGTAATCAAAAAAAAATATTTTACTGCGCAGAAAGGGAAAGGATAATCTGACTCTCCTCCATGTTTGCAAATCCTAGTAATTGCGTCAGTACTAGGCTAGATGCGAGAATGGGCAATATCGGTCCACTCCATCAAGTACATCCCCCACAAAGGGTCAAAATTTTGAATAATTATAACTCTTATAATATGTGAAATAAAAGAGAGCGATTGTCTTCAAATTACACACATCTCTATTTTTTAACTCAAGGGCAAGGGCTCAAGTGTGATGATGTAATATAACGGTTTACTCCTTCTGGTACCTCCCCCACAAAGGGTCAAAATTGTGAATAAACATGAAGATTATAGAACGCGAGGTTAGAACCGATTTCATTCAAACTTGGCACATCTCAATATTTCTAAGTAAGTTCTTGCACTTTTTGGAATGTCAATGTCTTTACCCCGAGCTCATTTTTCAATATTTGCCGAATGGGATATTGCGATGTGTTCAGCTCATGAGCCATTTTTCGGCCACTGCGACGTTTCGATCAAGTCGCTTCTTTACTTTTCGAACCATTTCCGTTGATGTTGCTGTTTTCTTCCGTCCACTTCCTTGACGTCGGGCTGCGCTACCAGTATCACGGTAACGAGCGATGGTATGAGACACAAAAGATTTATTCACATTTAAATGCTGGAGTGCTCTAACGATAGCCACTTGTGGTTTTCCAGCCAAATATAAAGAAATCACACTATCACGCTTGAATTCCATCACGAATAACTTTTTTCCGGAAAATTCTCACCAAAATACTTTTGTACGCTTGTAAACAATATAATGAGCTGAAATGACAGCAGTCTGAAGATGGTTATAGTTTTTTTCATCTCACCCTGTATATGTTTTGACTATCAAAAGAAAAAAATCGACGATTTTTTTATACCCTCCACCTACATTTTTCGACACAGAATTTCAATATTTGGCACAACAATTTGTATTGTGAGATGTGTCGGTCCACGTTTTGATATAGCCGCCATACAACGGTACCTCCCGATATTTGGTATTTTGATGGTTTTCGCCACATTTTTCACGGATTTTTCTAAAATATGGTATTTGTAGGTCGGAACATTTTATAAAGGAAAAATGTCAAATAAAAAATTTTCTAAAAACAAGTAAAAAAACAGTAAGTTCGGCCGGGCCGAACTTTGAATACCCTCCACCATTTGAAACGAATTAGAAAATTTTCAAAAAAAAAAAATAAATAAATAAATAAAATCCATTTAAAATTCAGTTAAAATCTTTAAAATACCTAACATCGGAAGGTGCCGATATATCTGGGGGTAAAGCACTCAGAAGGGACTCCTTGTGTGGAATTTCAGACAATTTCGTTGAAAAATGTGGCTAAAAGCATCAAAATACCGAATACCTGGGGGTACCGTTATATGGGGGCTATACCATATCCTGCACCTATATAATTATCTTCCAGGGGATAAAGTACTCAAAAGGAACTCCTTGTGTGGAATTTCAGGCAATTCCGTTGAAAAATGTGGCTAAAATTATCAAAATACCGAATATCGCGGGGTACCGTTATATGGGGGCTATACGATATCGTGGACGGGGTAGAGTGCTCAAAAAGAACTCCTTGTGTAGAATTTCAGACAATTCCGTTGAAAAATGTATCTAAAATCATCAAAATACCGAATATCGGCGAGTACCGTTATATGGGGGCTATATGATATCGTGGACCTATATAGACAATTCTCTTTCAGGGGGTAAAGTACATAGAAGGGACTTCTTGTGTGGAATTTCAAACAATTCCATTAGAAAATGTGACTAAAATAATAAAAATGCCGATTATCGGGGGTACCGTTATATGGGGTACCGTTATACGATATCGTGGACTGATATAGCCCATCTGTGCAAAATTGTAGCTTCATATCTTAATTCGTTTTGACTGTAGCGTGATTACAATAGACGGACAAAAGGACAGACGGACGGACATGGCTAAATCGTCTTATAATTTTACGCTGATGAAGAATATATATACTTTGTTGGGTCTAAAATGATTATTTCGATGAGTTATAAACGGAATGACGAACTTAATATACCCTCCATACTATGTATGGTGAAGAGTATAAAAAATTATTTCAAATTTTCTCTGAACACGACTCCAGCCCACACATGCCCCACAGTATAATACAGTTAATGTTAATGGTATTAAATTTAATAGTTTTCGTTTGCCTTCATTTACCTTATTTTAATAAGCCAATTTTAAATAATTATAAATAAATTATGTGGCAACACTACCTGCGATTAGCTCTGATATTTTGCAATAGGTGTTTTGTGGTCATAACATAAACAAAGCAAAACAAACAAACAAACGACAGCAACGGATCAAAACATCAGGCCCCCCATCAATCCATACCATAACATGCATCCATCCAACCATAACCTTTACCAACAAAAACATATGTATGTGAGTACCACAACCTCCAAGGCAATATTATCCCAGTCAGCATTTTTTGAAATTTTTAATCACATTCGAGTCTTTTTTGATCCGCTTGCGCGATTAAAAAGCTGGAATATGAGCGCATTTTCTGATCATAAAAGACTCAGTTGTCGGGAGAAAAACGTGACCTCCCGCGACTCTTCTAAATAAATCATATATGAGTCTTCCTCTAGATTAGTTAAGTGTCTTTTTCGACCATTGTCTGATCGTTCTACGAGTCTTTTTCGAGTCGTTTTCTAATCATTTATTGCGCTAAAACGCTTAATTTGTGAATCTTTTTCGAGTCTTTTTTAAGTCATTTTTTTGATCATTTATGAGTCTTAAGTGAGTAATTTATTAGTCTTTTAAGTGTCATATATCACTCATATGTATATTCATTTAGGAGTCTTTTATGAGTCCCCTTTGTCTTAAATTCGAGTCATTTATGAGTCTTATATGAGTGTTTACGATTCTACGAATCACGTACGTGATTTCTAAATATTCGGATATACCGTAAAAAAGAGAATTTGATTATATATGTTTATATAAAAATGTATTTAAAATAAAAATAATTCAGCTTTCAAGATTATAATTTGTACTGTAATTTCAATAAATACGATTGTAAAAAAATATAGTAAAAAATTAAATAAGAACATGAAAAAAATTTAAAAATAAAAAATCAGGAGCTGCAATCGGGCCGTTTTCTTTTTGTAACGCGGTCTCTAGCGTGAACAAAATGTTTTTGTAGGATTGTGTTCATATCCTTGTCGTTGCTTTAGTATTTGAGATGAGAAATATCTGAAATAAAATATGTACAAGTTTGTCCATTTTACTAATTCTTTATATGCGTGTTAAAAAGACAAACTTACCTTTGATTACTGTAACCAAATAACACTTTTCTTCACTCAGATTTGCCCTGTCCCCTTCCAGCTGTGTTGGCAGGCTTATTTATCTGAAAAAACCTTTCAGTTTTTGCAATAAACTCTTTCTGTAAATAGATTATCAAAAATTTTATAAGTATTAATAGTTTATAACGTAGTGAATTAATCAATCAAATGCCTATACTTACAAATCAAGTTCTGTCTCATTTTGCTGCACCGTTTCTGGACATTTTCTTCATTTTTCTCATATTCAGTTTTACTTCTTTTTGCAAAATTAAATTTTCTGTCTTTTTTGTCATCGTTTTTAATTTAGCCTTTTCCATGTTTGTAATTTAACTTGCTGACATTTTCTTCATAAAAATGAATAAATAAACAAAGAGGTAAACGTACACTTTTTCATATTTTTTCACTTTTCAATATTATACACTTTTGCTGTTGACGCCTCCACGCACTTTTTATAAATGAACAATAATTCAACTTTTTGATAGTCAGTCCAGAAACAAAATAACCCTTGCATAACAAAACAAGCAGCATTTATGCACTTATCTGTGCAAAATATGATCAAAAAATACATAATTTTGATCACTTTTCAAACAGCTGCAAGATCTTTTTAAGACAAATCATTTTTCAATCTCTAAATGATCGCAATACGATAATAAATAACGAAAAAATAGTCAAATTTTGCACATATCAATGATTTATTTGCGATTCCCCTATATTTTGTTGTTGTATATTAAATTGATCTCTTTTCACTCATTAGAGAGAGTCATTTTCGAGTCGCTATTTGATCATACAAGTCAGTTAATCATTTTTTGGTCACCAAAAGGACTCGAAGAAGACTCACCAAAGTGATTTTTTCAAAAACAATCTTCCAAATGCTAGCTGGGTATGGGCCACCACAATCTGTCACTTACCTTAGTTAATTTACACATGCGCAGCGTATGAATGAAACAAAGCTTTAAAAAACAACAGACAAACACACATACATGTGTGTGTTTTCCCTTTCATTGGCAATGCAACCTTAACGGTTGGCTTTCAAACCAAAAAGTTTTTACTTTCAATCAAACCTGGTGGTTGGTAAAAAAAGCTTTAATTCGCTGGGCTTTTTGTGGACTTCATACCAGAAAAAATTGTATTTTCCTAACAAACTCAGGCTTGTGCAAAGTTTAAAACTAAAAATTTAAATAAAATCTACTGGTATTGCTGATTGTTTTTGTCTTTTTGAGTAAACGAAAAAAACAACAGCAACAACACAAGTGCTTGTATCGTGAGATTTATGGACGGAACGATTGTGGCGGACAGGCTGGCAAAGAGACAGACAGACATACATAGCTCTGTCCGCACAAGCTTTGCAAACTTTAGTTCACCAATTTGGTTTAGTTAAGTTTGGAACGTGAAACCGTTAAAACGTCGCCGCTGTCTTATTCGCACGGAAGTGAAACCCCCCAAAAAAACCGAAACACCAGCAACACATTTTTGCAAAAACAAAGCAAACGAACCGAACCAACCGTACGTACGGTCCTTCGTAGTTGGTAAAACGTATGCAAATAGTTGTGTTGAATTTTTAATTAACCTGAAAAGACATTCGGACCACCTAAACGCGGATTATTTAACTCTAAATCAAAAGCAGTTCCCAGAAAAAACGCAGACTTGAAAATGAAACTATTTGGAGCTATCCTGGGATTGACCCTACTGGTCACATATGGTAAGTTGATATATCGCCAATCAATGCAATTCGGAAAGGTAAAATGTTGTTAAAAGCTAAACGAAAACGGAGTCAACAGTGTTATGGCCAATTGCCCCGAGACAATTTGGCACTTCGTGGCTTACTTTCAAATACGGCGGCCGCCGCCACCTCAGCAGCAGCTGCAATTGCAAATATCATAGTTATGACTTAATTTTAGCCAATAACTGGGGTTGAGTGGTAGCCCCAAGACAAAAAAGCAATGGTGGTGGCCTGCCTTGATTGGGCTGCTCATGACTGAATGTTGGTTTTTTTGTTTTCTTTGTTGCTGACCAACAATTCAGACCACCGTCAATTATTAAATCAATTTCAATTGTGTTGAGTTACCTACTTTCAATTATTGTTATTACCTAGTCCATTCGGTTCAGTTCGAACTCCCATTGCACGGCCTTACAGTGGAACACAAGCACACAAAAACAGGTGAAGTGTTTGAACCATTTACATATCTGTTTTTGTTGGTTTCTTATTTGCTGTTCGCTGGAATTACAAAATTAGATTGTGTTCTGCTTGTGCGCTTTAAAAGGGGAGTGTTCGTATCGCTTGCGAAATAATTGCATATCTATTTGAATACATTCCCCCAACATGATTTGTAATTAATTTTTCTTTGTTATTTCTGAATTTTGTAAGAAATTGGGTGTCTGAAGTATACTTCTGGCTTGGTGGAGGATAAATATATCCGAAAGTCTACAAATTGCAAATCGGATTTGCAACATATTTTGCAATTGGAGGGTGAAAGAGATTGATGTTTTTCTGGTGCCTAAAAATTATATTAATATTTTTATCGCATTTGCACCAAAATGTTGGCAAAACATTCAAGAAGGGTGGATGAAAGCTTGTGCAGATTCTTCTAAGTATTCTTGAGAAAAATGGGCAAAATGAGTTCAAGCTTCGGCATGCAATATGTCTCAACAGTAAGAATTTTTGGTGTCAGTGTACTTTCGAATTCAAAAAAAAAAAAACAGTAAGGAAAGCTCAAAAGTCGGGCGGGGCCGACTATATGATACCCTACACCACTATGCATATTAAGTAGAGCTCTCGTAAAAAGGTTTATACAGGGCATTTCAGAGCTCTATGAGATATTTGGTACAAAATCAAAATCTGTCTAATTATATCGTGCATTTTACGAACTATAGCTATCTCTGAACCGGGTTTCTCCAAATTTGACGTATTAGCTTCTAGACTGAATTCGGTCTTATGTACGAAAATGATTTGGGCTGATATTGACCATTTAGTGCACATTTAACCCGAAATCGGATGAAGATATATATGGGAGCTATATCCAAATCTGAACCGATTTCGATAAAATTTAAAACAGCTATTCTTGTGCTCCATCTAATACCTGGTACCAAATATAACGGTTGTGGAGTGAATATTACGAATGTAAGGGAATAAAACACTAAATCGGATGAAACATATATATGGTTGCTATATCTATATCTGAACCGATTTTCACTAAATTTGATATACTTGCTTCTAGGCTGAATTTGGTCCGATGTACTAAAATTCAGTCCATTTGGACTTATAAACACCAAATCGGATAAAACATATATATGGGAGCTATAGCTCTTTCTAAACCGATTTTCTCCAAATTTGTTGTATTTGCTTTAAGGCTAATCTCAGTCACATGTGCCAAAATTCGGGCCATTTGGGCTGATATTGGCCATTTGGTGGTCAATTAACCCGAAATCGGATGAAGATATATATTGGAGCTATATCCAAATCTGAACCGATTTCGATAAAATTTAAAACAGCTATTTCTGTGCTCCATCTAATAGCTGGTACCAAATATCACGGTTGTGGAGTGCATAGTAGGAATGTGAGGGACTTAAAGATCAAATCGGATGAAAGATATATATGGGAGCTATAGCTATATCTGAACCGATTTTCTCCAAATTTGATATACTTGCTTCTAGGCCGAACTCGGTTGGGTGTGCCAAAATTCAGGTAATTTGGACTGATAGTGGACATTTGGTGCACATTTAACCCGAAATCGGATGAAGATATGGGAGCTATATCTAAATTTGATCCGATTCTCACCAATTTCAATAGGGTTCGTCCTTGGGCCAAAAAAATATTGTTTGGAAATTTCATCTCAATCGGATAATAAATGCGACCTGCATTTTGTTCACAAGAATACATGGACAGACGGACGGACAGACGGACTGACGTGCATAAATCGACTCAGAAAGTGATTCTATGAAGGTTCTCAAAAGTAACTATGGGTCTATCTCGTTTCCTTCTCCATGTTACAAACAAATGCACAAAGACATAATACCCTTACCACTATGTGGTGTAGGGTATAAAAAATAAATAAATAAAACAACTCTAAATTTGGCCGGGCCGAACTCTTTGTACCCTCCTATACTTGGTATTGGGTGAAGGGATAGAGATAAAATTCTGGAATTTGATTTTTAGATTACAGATGGTGTCTGTGCTTGAGACCTGGGATAGTTTTAAAATGCGTCCTATATTTGCACGAAAAGTACTCTATGGTACTAAATTTGGCATTCGTTGAAGGGATAGGGCTGGAATCCTTGAATTTGATATTGAGATCTCTATTAGTATCTAGGATTGAAATATGGAGGTGTTTTTGGAAATGGGTACAATAATTGTACGAATGGTACTAAATAGTACTAAATTGGGTCAAATTTTTTAGAATGTCACTGTTGGTGTCTGTTGTTGAGAGAAAGGGTTGGTATTGGATATGCGTACTATAATTTTACTTTATGGTACAAAATCTGGTTATGGGGGGAAATTACAGAGCTGAAATCCTAAAATTTGATATTAAGGTCATTGTTGGTATTTGGGGTTGGTATCTGGTGGTGAATTTGCAAATGCGCACTATAATTCTATGAAAAGTACTAAATTTGGATCACTGTACTTATTTATCACTTTTGGAGTCTAGGATGGAGAGATATAGATTGTTTTGGATATGCGTACTAAATTTGGTATATAGAGACGTTGAAATAGTTTTGAACAGAAAAGTTGAAAAAAAAATTGAATTGGGTAGAGTGGAAAGGTTTTTGTTTGGAGCTGGGTTTGAAGTACGTACTATAAGAATAGAAACAAGTAAAAAAGCAGTAAGTTCGGCCGGGCCGAACTTTGAATACCCTCCACCATTTAGAATGAATTTGGAAATTTTTGAAAAAGATAACATTCGCCAAAAATTTTGCTAACATCTTAAAAATACCGAATATAGCCGTTATATTAGAGTCTGTTCGACGTGCACCTACATAGGCATTGTTTGTCACAGCCATTACCATATTTAATTTCGAATATTTCGAAACTTGAAATAAACGGTGAATAATGTAGCTAAAATCATCAAAATATCGTACATAGGGAGGTACCGTTATATCGGAGCTGTGCGAAGACCTGGACCAGCATAGACAATTTTCTGTCATAGGCTGTAGCATCTATTACGAACTTCAAATACGACATCTCAAACAATTTCGGTTGGTATTGTACCTAAACTCGTCAATATATCGAATATAGGGAGGTACTGATACATGGGGCCTATACGAAGACCTGGTCCTGCATAGACAATTTTCTGTCACAGACTGTAGTTCCCATCACGAACTCTAAATACGTAATTTGAAACAATTCCGGTGAATAATGACGCTAATAAAATCAAAATACCGAATATCGAGACGTACCGTTTTTTCTATCTTAGGCTGCAGTATCTATTACGAAGTTCAAATATCAAATTTGAAACAATTCCGGTGAATAATGTCGCTAAAATCATCAAAATAACGAATATCGGGAGCTACCATTATATGGGGGCTATACGAAGACGTGGACCGGCATAGACAATTTTCTGTCTTAAGCTATAGTATCCATTGCGAACTTCAAATACCAAATTTTAAAAAATTCCGAATATCGGGATCTACCATCATATGGGGGCTATACGAAGACGTGGAACGGCACAGACAATTTTCTCTCTTAGGCAGTAGTATCCAAACTTCAAATACCAAATTTGAGACAATTCCGGTGAATAATATCGCTAAAATCATCAAAATACCGAATATCGGGAGGTACCGTTATATGGGGGCTATACCAAAACTTGGACCTACATGGCCCATTTTCAGTACCAAAAGTCCTGTAGATATAACATACATTTGAGTAAAATTTTATCCATCTACATCAATTCATTCGAAAACTAGAGTGATTTCCACAGACGGATGGACGGACATAGAATTTTATGCTGATCAAAAATATACATACATTGTGGGATCTAAAATGTATATTTCGAGGTGTTACAAATGGAATGACAAACTTAATATACCCTCCATACTATGATGGAGGGTATAAAAATAATGGTAGAACTACCAGATGATTACAATTGTTTCTAAAGGTGAGGGTACATAAACAGCCTGGTATTATAGCTATTCAAATTATAAGGGGAAACGACGGCAGGATTCGAGTGCAGATTTGACATCCTTTTTTCATATGTCACAAAATATGTCAGGCGAAGACTTTAAACCCATATCTTGGATCATATCTTGTTGCATATAACTTTAAATAATTCGGACAGAAAGAAAACATAGCCTCAGTGCTGTATTTCTGTAATTTTGCGAAGCTGTTCTACATCCTTATTGTACCATGGTATGATCTATTAAACATATATTCCCAATATAAACGTTTATTTGTTTCAAGTTAGCTCTATTGAATTTGAAAACTGATGTTTTGTTCCTTCTGTATTGGGTTCTATTTTCTCTATAGTCAAATATGTTATATTTTCACATAACGAAACCAAGGCAAACTTATTACTGGGTTCAGCATCTTAAATATTTTGTAAATTAAAGATAGCTTAACATTGAAAAAGTATTTCTAATAAATACTCTGAATCACCTTCTATGTCGTCAAAATGTTTAAGCAAAATATTTATTAAAATTCACACCGGATTAAATTAAAGATTTTAATACGATTTGATCATTCTTAATTAAGATTGTCTAATTGAACTT